TATTTCTGTTATAGGAAAAGAAGAAAAGAAAAGGTGGAAGAAGAAAATTGGTATATAGTATAGACACACAAAATTAGTAAAGAAAAAGAAGTAAATGTGTTGGTTAGACAACATTTTAAGTTCTACCTTACTTATTGGTTCAGGTTTTGAAATCTTTCAGGGTTCAATACAGCATTTAGCAATGTTTGTGTTGATCAAAACCTAACAAATAAGAAAATAATAAAAAGAAATTAGTAATATAAACACACAAAATGAATATTTTAGTTTAAAAATGTCTATTTTAAAATTATAACCTCAAAAAATTAAGAATATAAAATTTTGTCTAACACACGATAGAAAACTACTTGGCGATTAGGTGAGGCGAGACTCCAAGGGCGCCTTGTCACCTAGGCGTCACCTTGACAACTATGGATAAGACCCAATCCACTATTAGCTTTAGCCCAAGATGATCTGACATTGGCCAAAGCTCATGACCACAGACTCTCACATGCTCTAACACGTGCCTGCTGATGTAACAATCCTATAAATAGAAGTTTGAATATTCATCAAAAAAATAGAAGTTTGAATAAGAGATGGCTAGTTTGAAGCTTTCCCTCTCCTTTTCTCTTCTCTTTTTCTCTTCTCTTCCCTGAATTCTTTAAAGAGGCAAGGGTTCCCTCGAAGAAACCATTGCATTGGGCAGTATGCCAGTATCCCATCAATTTTGGTATCAAAGCCTTGATCTGTAGAACAGAGGATGCCAATAATGAGATTTGTGATGATGGAGGAGAGAATTGAAAAGATTGAGCTAGAATTGCACAAATTTGTTGGTGATCTTAAAGAGATTAGGGATACCCTGTCAACAGTGGCCACATAGTGTCAATGACTGATTTAGGCAAGTAATCGAGATAGTGAAGGAAAAAGCTCCAGCTAGGGAAGTGTTCGTCGATCTGGAGGATTCTGCTCAAACAGCCAAAGCTCGATTTCCCACCATTTTTAGGTGATGATCTGATCTCCTGGATCTTTCAAGCTGAATGAATTTTTGAATTCAATGAGGTCCCTGGACACCAGAAAGTGTCTGTGGCTTTGGTTCACATGGAAGTGGAGGCAATTATGTGATATCAGTGGTATAGATGATCCCACCCACACCTTACTACAGCTGTCAATGGGTTGGGCCTGGGTAGAACTGGAACCGACCCAAGAAGAAATATTAAGGAACCGGAACCAAACCAGATCCTATAGGGTCTGTAGTTTTAGACCGAGAACCGAACCGATTGTTTCTTGGGATAATAGGGTCGGATCCAATGGATCCGGTTATAATGAAACTTCTGAAAATATTATATATGGCTCGGGTTCGGACTGAGTCAGTTCGGGACTGGGTAGGACCGGTTCCAAACCGATAATGATTAGGACAATAGATTAGGAACTGGAACCAACCCATCAGTACCAGATCTTGGAACCAGTACCGGCCCAATCAGTTTGGGTCCATTGGATCAGACCCGACCCATTGACAGCCCTACACCTGACATGGCCGGACTTCACAGAGGCCTTATGTGCCAGTCTAACAGATTTGGCCCTTCTGGATGTAAGAATTTTGATGAATCCTTGTCTAAACTTCAACAAACTGGAGCTGTAAGGGATTAACAAAATGAATTTGAGAAGCAATAAATTGGAACTACAAGGGATTAACAAAATGAATTTCAGAAGCTAGCTTCTCGAGTATGGCTGGCCTAAAAGAGCCTTAGTTGGCTGCTTTGTAGGTGGGCTGAGAGAAGATATACACTTAAAGATAAAATCTATGCAACCTATTACTATCACGGCAGCTGCTAGCCTAGCTTGACCCTATGAAGACAGATTGAATAGATTGAGGAGAGTCAAAAAGGGACTAGGTCCTATTCTTAAAACACCACCACCATCTTGTCCTGAATCCGGTTTCACTAAAACAAATGGCAATAGAACTACTAGACCTCTTCACAAGCATAGTTGGTTTGAGATGCAATTTCATTGCAAGTGTGGGCTCTGATACAATTTCAACGAGAAATTTGCACCCGAACATAAATGTAAGCAACAACAGTTGTTTCTATTGCAAACAGAAGAGTTTGATGAGATTGATCTCCAAGATACATTAGGAGAGGAATGTAACAATGAAATCAGACCAGAGGAAGTTCTATAAATCTGTTTGCAGGCGCTTATGGGTCCTTAGATGATGAGGATTGAAGGCAAGATTAAGAATAGAGAGGTATCCATCTTGGTGGATACCTTCCCTCAAAGAAACCCCTATGGCGGGTCAGTTCGAAGCTTTTCTTTTTTTTCTAATCAAATTACAATCATAGTTTTCAAGGCGCCAAGGCGAGGCTAGGCGACAAGAGTTTGATGAGGTGCCTTGTCGCCTAGGCATCACCTAGGCGATGGTTTTTTTAAGTAAAAACATGTATCCAAGGGTCGTTCCCTAGGTTTCATAATCATATTTCCTTAATATCCATAGTTTTCATAAGAAAAGTATAAGCTTCATGTTGAAGTACAGAAAATCAACATATTCATAAGAAAAAGAAGAAAGAAAAGAAAATTAAAAAAATATAGGGGTTGAACCCCTATTTCTGTTATAGGAAAAGAAGAAAAGAAAAGGTGGAAGAAGAAGAAGAAGAAGAAGAAGAAGAAGAAGAAAAAGAAGAAGAAGAAATTAGTATATAAACACACAAAATTGGTTTCGGTTTTGAAGTCTTTGAGGGTTTAACACAGCATTTAGCAATGTTTGTGTTGACTAAACCCTAAGAAATAAGAAAATAATAAAAAGAAATTAGTATATAAACACAGAAAATGAATATTTTAGTTTAAAAATGTATTTTATAATTATAACCTAAAAAATTAAGAATATAAAAGCTTTTTATAACACACTATAGAAAACTGCATGGTGATTAGGCGAGGCGAGCCTTCAAGGGTGCCTTGTTGCCTAGGCGCCCGCCTAGGCGTTGCCTTGACAACTATGATTACAATCTCGATATATTTAATTTTTTTTCCTCTTTCCTTTCTCTAGGTATTTCTGCATATTGCAAAAAATTAGTCCCACAATAGTTTTTATGATATTATCAAACAATCCTATAATCCTATGTAAACCCTCATCCATATTCCATGGATCTGCCCCTAGCTCCACAAACCCAAGCCTTAGACCTAGACCTTCTAAAATATCAGTTCCATTTCAGTTTTTCCTCAAAATTTCCACCAATCCAATCTTGGATCATATCAGTCTTACAATAACTGGTACCAAAATAGATGGTCCTACATTATTTAGTACCAGAGCAATTGACTTTTAATGTAAAAAATCACCTAGGTGATGCTAGACAGGCAGACAGTCACCTGTGGCAACTAACAAGGCATTCTACTGTTGCCCATCCTTGACCTAGCTCCTTGAAAACCATGTTGGGAAGCTCATAAGAAGGGGTCTATGGATATAAACCTTTTAGTCTCATGGTCCTGGTTGCATTATTTTTCCTTCATTGGACCAGTTTAATGACCAAAAAAGGAAAAGAAAAGCATTAGAAAGCTCATACCTCAAAAGCCTTCAATATATCATTGAACTCTAACAAATGCTGATCCACTTCCTCTGGGCTGAGGCCACCCTTGATCCCAATAATTTCAGCTGGAAGTAAGTAAGAGTACATCCGTACATTGCATTCCCTTCTAGCATCAAAGCTCCTAATAAGAGAGAAAATGTTAAAAATAAATGCTTTTAGAAAATGGGAACCCCGGTCGATAACTATACAAAAATATGCTTTTAGAAATATAATAACCAAATCATGCCTTTATTGTATAATTTGGTTTTAGGACCATTGAATAGAATAGTAGTTGGAGAGAGCAGTCCTTAGCCACACATATATTGGAATAGTTGCAAGGGTAGAGAGTTTTATTGCAAGTCTATCCACTTCTTCTCAACACAGGATCTTCTTGAGAAGACAGGACTTCTGTTTACCCTATTTGTATGTATTTATGAAGTGTATAATGAGAAATGGGGGTCCTAAGCCTTCAAGGACATATACTAGAAGGAAGAAGGTCAATCAATTATGCTTTGACATGGCTGAGAGTTGTGCAGATTGGTTAGGTCATCATGTTATTTTTGGAGATTTCAGGGGTATCTTTGTATTTTAATAAATTTACTGTGCAATCTGGCCATTAGAAATTGATGAGTAATGATTTATTTTTAATTGTCATCCAGCCAGTAAGCTAGGAGTTGTTCAAGTTCATTTCTCACCTTTTTTTAAGCAGGAGAAGTTCAGTTACTACATCCAGTTAACTATTGTGACCTACATGTGTGAAATTAAATATATGTGCAAGAACTGTTACAGTCAACTAATGATATTTTGGTGTGATTACTAGGAATCTCAGAGTGATCATATTGCAAAGGCTGCAGAAGATGTGCTTCAAATCATTTCAAGGATATACCGATATATTAATTCCCCCAACTTCCCCCTGTTTGTTTAGAGCTCATGCCTTAAAAGCCCATTTAGATCATTTCAGGAATAATTTTTTCGATCAATCATTTGAGGAATAATTGCAGTTACTCATCTATCATTATAACCTTTGAAACATTGACACTAAGGCCCTGTTCATTTTCTGGTAAGCCATTTACCTGGGTAAAGACTTACCCAGGTAAGTGCATTTACCCATGTTCTTTGATCAAAAGTGTTTCCCAGGTAACTGTTCTTTTGACCACTTTTACCCAAAAAATGCAATTATTAGATGGGGTAATTTTGTCCCATAATGTTTTGGCAACTTTCCCCCAGGTGGGAAAGTTACTTGCCCACCTGGGAGATGGGTATCACTTAGCCAGTTAAGTGATCCCAAGGAAAAGCAATTTACTGTGAGACCCACAACTTACTGAAAGGCGAACAAGGGATTGTTGGTCACCGGGAACCACCTTCCTGTTGACCAACCCCTCCCCTCCATTTACTGAAAAAGAAACAGGGCCTAACTCTGTGCCTTTTTACCCTTCATTAGTAGACTACATCTAATTTACTATTGGCTAGAAGTCCAAAGATTTTTCTTTTTTGATCAACAACAAAAATCAATTTATTAAAAGAAAAGTAGAAGTAAGAATTTAATAGAAAAAAGGAAGGGGTGTTTCCTTTTCTCACCTTTGGGAAGGTAAAATGCTGAAAACTTTGACATTAGCAGGAAGATTAGAATTAACATAGTTTGCAAGAGCAATGCCATTGGGGTCATTTTTCCATGCATTTTCTGGGATCTCCATTTTCAAAGATATCATAGTTGACAAGGAATGGACCTAGAAAACCAATCAGAGAAACAATTGCAAATTGATTAGAACACCACATGTTACGAAGTAGGCAAATAAGTACGAAAATGGGTATACTGAGCAATGGAATTGCTGAATATACAAGCAATTGGGGATAAATTAAGAGTTTTAAAGTGGAAAGGAGGGGAAATATTAATGATAAGTGTAGAATCTCATAGAGGAGATGATTCCAGATGAGAAGCCAGTTGGAACAAGAAAACATTATAAGGCTACAACTTGTATATGCACGATTGTTTGTTTTCTCTCTATTGCAATTATAGGGAGGAGGGACGCATCATAAATATACTTACTCCTTTATCGGTTCTGCTACTTCTTGCCCACCCAATCTTATGCAGATCTCTAAAATTACTATCTCGAATTCCACCAGCTCTAAAGATGGCAGTTTCCAATTCTGCTTCAATGGCTACATGGCAAGATTGTAATGCTTTATCAAAACCCCATCCACGGTAGCTAGGCTGATGAAATGTGTAGTGCAATCGATACATTTGTTGACTAAAGAAACAATAAACAAGCAAAGAAAAGAAGGGTCTTCATCAAAAGAACTGATGAATAAAGATCATTCATTTCTTATGCAAATTAACACGGCAGAATCATAGTCTCAACATTGCCTTACCTCTCTTGTAACGCTAGAATTATAAATATCTATTAATGGTGAATGTATTTCAATTAGTTAAGAAAAGGGGCCAAATGAAGCTTCAGGCTCAATCCTGTAAAGGTCTTGAATCCATATTTGGCGCATTTTTCTATGGTAAAGAGCTTTTATTCAAGATACAAAGTGTGTTTGGTTAGTCAACCAGTTGAGAAGCATAAAGATTAAAGACACATACAAAGAATAAAATCTAAATTCAGAATGCAAGCGTCACAACCAAAAGGTTTCCACTCAAAGATTTTCTTAATACAGAATCATGGGAAACTTAGGCTATGTTTGGTTTGAAGGAAAAGGTAGGGAAAGGAAGGGAAAGACAGGGAAATCAATACAAGGGTTGTAAAGGTTTCCTTACCTTTCCCTTCCTTTCCCTACATTTTCCTTCAAACCAAACATAGCCTTAGTTTCAGGGGTTTTCCTTAGTTAGAAAATGAAATGGAAACCTAATGTGAGGTTCACATGTATCAGAAGTAAAAAAGCAAAAAAATCAGAATAAGTAAAGAGACTAGGATTTATTTATTTATTTATTTGGGGGGGAGGGGTCCAGAAGCTTACTCGATAATGAGCTATCTCGTTGCATTTGCAAACCTGTAAAATAATCAGATAAGAAATCAGAGGCAAAGTAAACTAAACATATCATATCTTCTTTCTTTCATCAACGAACTTCGAAGGCTTACCCCTGTAGTCGGTTCCAACATATCCGACACGCATTACGACTTTTTTCTTCCGAAAGGGCTCCCATTTATGTCCGACAGCCTCGACCGGCTGCTCCGAAGACGATGGTAGTTCTAGGGTTTGGGAAGAGATCGAGAAAGAAGAAGAACAACAATAACAACAAAAAATCCTCAAGGACTTAGGCTTCGATAGCAGGAGACTTGAACTCGGCTTCCTTATCCACGGCGAGAGCGGTAGCCGCAGAGAAGAGACGGCCATGTAAACGTTGCGAAGAGAAACCCCTCCCAAGACAGTTTACAGTTAAGTGAGTATGGATAAAGAAGACCCGAGCGGCGGAGCGGGCAAATTGCCCCTTTTTGGCAATTCAGTAAACCGGGTCAATAATATCCGTTTGATAGGTCGGGTAGGAATCCAGTATCAAATGAATAAAGAATCAGAAGAAATAGAAAAAATATCTAAGTGCTCACGATGCGACCATACATTTGTCACGATAAGGTCGAAATCATAATAAAATTTCTTCGTCCATTTGGAACTTGAAAGGAACGAACTATCGAGTGGGATAGAGATCTCATCGTCTGTGGAAACTGACAAGTCCTCGACCTCTGACGGTTAATATCACCCGTCCTTTAATCTCAACAAGCTTCCCGCCATCTATCCTTCTCTGAAATGGAATTATAGATATAAGATAGCCTCTTGGACAAGCTTGGAAGCTTCACTCAACTTCGTATGAGCAGAATGGTGAATGGGAGGGAAGTCATGGAAGATGAGAGAAGGGTGAAGAAGAGGAAACCCCTTTCCGACTGCACCAACACCGTCAGCTCTCGGATCTCCTCACATTCTCACGCTAAACCCAGAAAGCACTCTCGCTCTACAAAAGCAGCCGACAACAATTCCCTCAAGTATGATACCAGCACCGGATCCAATGCCGCCGAAAACCCTGGAATTTCAATTTCACCTTCTACTCCTCCTCCTCAACAAACAAGATCTGTTAGTTCTGGTAATTTTCGCAACATCTTCCCGTTCTTCTTCAAATTTCTTGCTCGGATTTGACTTCAGTTCAAGTTGATTAGTTGTTATTCTGATCTAGAATATGGAACCTTTGGCCCGTAAGTTGGCCCTCTTGCTCCCCAAAATCAGTATTAATGCTCATTCGTTTACGTGAAATTTCTAGGGTTTTGACGTCGTTTAGTGAATCATTTGCTGGTTTTCTCAACCAAATCGTGGATTATTTATGTTTTAATTGCAACAAGAGGTTTTGAATTCTGAAGTCCACGGATCTTTGTTTTGGTCTTTGTAGAAGCTATACATGGTAATAATTCCGCGATTCTTAAGGTCTATAGTCGAACACGGAGTGAGGAGAAAAGAAAGAATGAAGGAAAGGCGGTTGCAGTGGGAAAAGCATCCAGTTGCCCTCCTGTGCGAAGGATCACGCGCATTGGGTATGTCCATCTCCGTCTCTCCTGAATGCCCAATTGCCCATCTAACCACGTTCTTCACATCTCTCCGATGGTTCGTTTGGGCATGGTTGTATTCTGTTTTTGCTTGCATTAAAACAAAATTATTAGTTTTCTTTAGTTTAAATTTCTTAAACTACCCTTATACTTTACTTAATTCATACCGAATGCTATTCCTATCGTTTCTGACAATTGACTAGCATCATTTAACTCTGTTACATCACATGACTGATATATTTGTCAAATATTCCTAAAATACCCTTTTCATCTCCATTCCTAAAATTACCCTAAATACCATCCTAAAAACCTCTCCATCTCCGTCTCAGTCTCGTCCAGAGGCTTTCTTCCTCATTATTCCAGCATTCTCAAACTCAAAGGCTTCTGCACGTAGCTAGCAAGCGTTTCAGTTATCTCTTACTTCGCAGAGATGTTGATCATCCCAAGCATCTTCGGTGGCCAACGAAGCAATGTTTTTTATCCCTTCTCTCTAGACATTTGGGATCCTTTTCAGGATTTTCCTTTCACCTCTGCGCTTACCACACCTCAATTCTCAATTGACGCAGCAGCATTAGCCAATGCTTGCATCGATTGGAAGGGGACCCCAAAAGCCCATGTATTCAAAGCTGACCTTCCTGGGTTCAAGGAGAAAGTGAAAGTGGACTGGAGGAATCTTACAAATCAGTGCAGAGGTGGTAGAGACAGTTGTTTGAGTGTGAGTTTCGTTGGAAACCAAGAGAAGAATGGACCTGACTGGCAATTGTTATTGCAGTTTCGTCGGTGATCTTTGTGCCATCACTTCTTTATCTTGAAACTCTGCAGTTCCAGCGGCTCCCCTATGGCACCAGAGAGGGAGAAGCAAGAGGGAAGAGGGGGAAAGGCCGTAACTGCGAGTCTGCGATTCCCCTATAGCATCTGACCTCTGCAGTTCCAGCGGTTCCAGAGAAGAGAACGAGAGGGAGAGGGAGAGAGATCTCAGAGATCTACTGTTCTGGCCGTAACTGGAGGAGTCTTATGTTGTCCGATCTACAGTTACGGTGGTTCCGACCATAACTGGAGGAGTCTTACTATTGTCCGATCTACAGTTCCGGCAGTTCAGGAGGTTTTGGCTTCCTGTTTCTTCTGATATGCTTTTCCCATCTGGTGATAGATTTGAGATTACTGTTGTCTGATCTGCAGTTCCAACAGTTTCAGCTTCCTGTCCCTCCGCTCTAATGAGAAGAGAAACTATTTTTATGGGTGTGAATGGCAAAGAGCGAAAATGGGGAGAAATTGTTTTTTGGCTTCAGATTGCTTCAAGCGAATGACTTCTATCGAGCTTCAGATCAGTGGATCCGTCAACAATGAAGATGGGTGACCAGTCTTGGTTGGTCGAGTAACATTGTTGACACTAGGGATGTCGACACAGTAGATGAAGATGGGTGTATTTTTGAAAATTTAAAGAAAAGTGGAGGGTAAAATAGTCTTTTTCATATATCCGTTGGTGCCAGTTAATGACAAAGAAGGATTAGTCAATTGTCAGAAAACTTCGGGGAACAATAGGGGTATAGTTAGTCAATTAGCTAAACCATAAGGATACTTCAAGAAATTTGCCCTTTTCTTTATTTGTTATTCTTTAGTTTTGGTGAGTTGAGGATCTGTGTTCGCCGCATTCTGAATTATGAATAGGCTAACCATTAAGATAGAAATGGCTTTTGCATATTTTCTAACAGTATACTCAACAAAATTATCCTTCCTAATTGAACTGAATGTCTCCAGTTTATTGCATAATGGAACTGGAGTTTGCCTCAGTTGTTTTAAGTGATGCAATGCTTATATCACGGTTTTGTCATCACTTGGGCTGCGTTTGGAAGCGGTGTAAAACTCTATTTGATCTAAAAGTCTATCGATAGAATTCAACACATAGTTTAAAATCTATGAACCGTTGTGCTTTGAAAAACGTGATAATTGATGTAATTACATCGATTTTATCAATATAGTATTTACGTCGATTATTGATGTAAAACTCCATTCTAACATTGATTTACAATGTAAAACTCCACTCCATCCAAATGCCGACAAATATGATCCAGAAGTGGAGTTTTACATTAATCTTGACTTACACTGGAAAACAAACGCAGACAAAAATGAACCAGCAGTGGAATTTTACATTGATACCAATTTACACTGCAAACAGACGCAGTCTTAGGGAATAAACGGAGTCATGTATTTATCCTTTCCACCTGATTTTTTTCTTTGCTTTATAGAAAATAATATAAACAAATTGTGCTGTCTTGTATGTTCACTTTCTGCAAGAACTGTTTTAGCATAGTAGAGATGCAATTTCTACCCTACCCAGGGCGGTTTTTTTGCTTGAAAACAGATTTTGGGGTGGGGTGAAGATGGGTCTCTCTCCAATCCATTGTTAGAAGGCATATGAACTTATATATTTGGCATTTTGTGTAATAATATTTTGAATTGTATGTAAAGTTAATTGATAGTTTGTGTTTTTATATCTTTTAATCAAATAAATGGAAACTTTGATGTTTGTTCATGCTATTTAATTTGTATATTGCTTATATATAACAAAAAATAATAGGAAATTAGATGTGGGTTCTGAATCCGACCTGCCAATCCAACCCACCCCACCCTCAAATGTAGAGAGGGTAAAGTCGGCGAGGATTTTGCGTTTTCATGTATAGGAAGTGTTTGGATTTTAAATCCAACCTGTTATGGGTTTTAGGGAAAGTATGGATTGGAAGGTATAGGGAAGCGGATAGGGTATAGAATTTACAAAACCCTCCCTGAACCCACCTGGTTGCCATTCCTAACTGGCAGAGGAAAAGCCAGAACAAGCATCTAGAGAATAAGAAATCAAAGCTTTCTAGCATCCTTGATTAAATTACTATATAGGAATTATCAGTGTGTTTTACCTTAAATAGCCGTCAATAGGTTATCTATATGCTGTTAGCTTTTATGCTGGGCATACACAAAATAAATAAATAAATAAAAGCCCATCAAATTGATCAAAAATAAAAATAAAAGCCCATCAAAAATCAATGATGAAAACTGTGTTATGTCAGTACATCTATTGGAGACTAGGCCTATAGAGTTAGATTCTTTCTGCTTTTCCTTGAGCAGAAAGAATCTAACAACTTTCAATGACTGATTCCTCTTCATGAATGCCCTTCTCTTCAGACTTTTGTTATCCTTAAGGTAATTGTTTTCCTTTGTGTCTGCAACTTTTGATCCCACCCCCTTCCCTTCTCTTTCTCATATTTTTCTTACCTTAAGATCTTGAATTTCTTCTAATGAGAGTATCATTTCTAAGATATTGAAAATGTTTAGGGTATATTATTAACCATTTATGTATAATCTAACATTTTTTGTCTGCTTTTGTTATTCAAATAGGGATAAAACCAATGAAGAACATAAGAAATTTGGCTTCTCTAAGACATGCAGGGTTCCCCGTTCAAAAAGAAAAAAGGTCTGAAGTTTGAACCCTCTATCTACTCATAAATTCTGATTTTCCTGGAAGGATTTTAAGGTATAAGACTCAACATTGGCTGCTTTGGACCTCTTATGCTTTATTTTCTTTAGTATTGGTTTCCCATTCTTTAAGGTCTCCAATGTTAATATAATGTATTCAGACTAGGACTTTGAAGCAGCCTTTTTTTTTTACTAACTCACTTAGTTGCCGATTTGTTAGTTCTTTAGGTATCAACTGAAAAATACGTGTCAGTTTTGATTATTGAATGTCATTGCTTTTTCGTGTCAGTTCTTTAGGTACCCAATTTGTAATATGGTTTTCTACATTCATAATTTACACTTTTCTTTTGATAAGGGCACCGTTTACATTATTGATCAAAAAAAAAAGGGCACCGTTTACATTAACTTCTCAACCTACCATTTTTCTCTACAGGAGTGCTTTCCGGTGCCTGGAAAAGGTAGCAACAAGTATGCCTTACCTCAAAATTTTATCGACCAACAAAGAGCATACTTCGCAGAGGTTGATGCGTTTGAACTGCCAGAGGAGGTTGCAACTAGCGAATCAGAATAGACGAAGAGACAAAGTAGGAAATAGCTAATATTTTTGGTTTGTTGTATGATAGATAGTCGGTGTAAAGATTTGGTTAAAAGAAAGTGCAATTGAGAACTTGCCAAAAGAGCCTGTTTACGCAATGTAATTGGACCAATGTAGTTCTAACTTCTAACCAATGCAGGGAGCCATAGTTACCTGACGCCTATGTTCTTTAATCAAAATCAAAATTACTATAATAAGAGTTTAATCAGAAAGTGATGAAACTGTGAGCTCTCTATCATTACATAATGCATATTTTCTGATCCAAATGGCTTACTCTTCTGGAGTTGTAATTGAGTTTCCGCAGTTAAATTATCCAATTGTATTGGTTGAGTTTTGATAACAGCTCCACGTTCAACAGCCTGTGCTGTTGAGTGTTGACGAGCTCTCCCAATCGATACAGGCAGTTGAACACAGACAATTTTCTTTAGAGGCAAATGATTTTGCTTATGTAACATTTTCTTAGTTTTCAAAAACAAAACCATGCATTTGATTACAGCCATAGTTTGTTGTTGCGACTTGCGACCCTTGCGAGATGACGAGCTGTTAAAATACCTCTTTACTCTGTTAACTTGTTAAGACAGTTTGGAATCCACGCAAAGAACCGAAATTGTGATACAGCGGGGCATTCTAAATTATATGGAAAATATCTCAGACGGGACTGTTGATATTACAGACTGCAGAGGGATGATTACTGAATAGCGATCATGTCTCCAGTCTCACAACAGAGCATGGATTCGAGGGATTCGGATCTGCTGACGATCAAAGTTCAAAATATCAATATGCATTGGAGTAAGGGCGTACAGAAGGGTCCTGAAACGATACGTATCGACCCATACTTTAAACCTTACTGTCGATAACACATTGCTGGCCACGTTCACCCAGCCACAGATATGGAACATAGGATGTGTTGCGGTCACCAAAATTCTCAACTTGCGGCTGAATGAGTGTGGTCAGCAGATCCAAACTCATGAGATAGTGAGTAATGCATGTATGTATTTGTCGCTTATATATTTTGTGACAGTGTGACAGGGATGGTTACCTCGTAGAATAGAATCTTAGAGTCCATTTGTTGGGTTGTTCCAATGTAAAATGGCTGGAAAAAAGTTTCATGCTGAAACATTTGAGTTATATTTTTTGCCCCTTTACAAATTAGAAGTTAGAAGGGGTTTAAAAACAAAGCTTTTGGAGGTATAAGTATTAGTTGGAATACTTCAGTTGGGAAATTTTCATGGGGTAGACAGTTAAAAGTGTCTTGAAAAACTACTAGATGAATGTCTTAGCTGCAAATGGTCATGCAACAAAACTATGGTACAGGAATACTATTCAGATGCGGAAAAGTAATAGGCTGAGCCTCTTCCCAAATCCCAATCATAGCCAAGTGCTTAAGCATCTCATTAGTTCAGAAAATCAGTAAACACACTCAATAGGGTAGTGGAAATATTCCACAAAATCCCCAAACCATTAACAGGCCAATCGTTTAGGGAAGGCAAGAAATTATGCAAAAGAAATATATATATACAGATCATTTCAAGTGGTTCTTGATACCAAAAATGTTAGCAGCTTAACTATCTTGTAAACAAATATGGCAGAACTTTTTTCTCACTAGGGACTTGCAAAGTAGCTGCAAGGCTTCCAGAGATACCCTAAACACAACAGGGATAATCAACATAACCATGAAACCATCATTATCTAGCAACCACTAAACAAGCAATATTTATGACAATGACTCAATGCCTCCCACACCTCCATACCACACATTCTCTTATGCTCTAAAGCACAAAGAATAACACGCAACATTCCCTCAATACCTCTGATTATCATTCCAAATCCCATCTCAGTTTCAAGGATATAATCGTCCAAAATTTAATGCTTGATTGCCACCATACTTATCTTAGCCCAGTTACAACATTCAATTGTAAGAGGATTAAAACTCAAGCATACTCCCAATATTTAAGCAACAAGCCTACAAGGTGTCTGACCAAATTCAACACTGCCTTCGATATATTTAGAACATCCTTGCAAGCCATATCTCACAAGTGATTTTCTTACTCTAAAATGGTGGTGGGGGGGAGGAAGAAAAGAATGAAGGAAGCCAAACAATAACAACAGGCTCCATCCAACCAAAGATAAAATTATTGCATCAGAAAGGCCGCCATACCTCACAATCACTTCCCTCACTTTTTTGTTTTTATTACTTTCCATACATTGAATCGTACTTACAAAGTTATATCCAACCTTTTACAACAGCAATTAACCTACTTCCTAACAAGTATGACAATCTCTTCCATATATGGTGTGTCCCCCCATGACCGGAAGCTACAGAAATTATCAATGAAAATGGTACCAACTTACCCCGCTTAAATACAGACAATTCCATATAAAATATAATAAACTAGTATGCTCATTGCATAAACATCAAAATGCCCATCTACAAAGTAAGGAACCCATGATCCATATTCAACAATTTACATTTAACAACGGCGATGGTCACATCACAGAAAAATCAAAACCCATAACATTAAACTTCTGAATTGATTGATTAAAAATGAGGTTACAATCTCTATATCAAAATACCCTGCAGAGAGGATCGGATCAGCACTAAAACCTAAAGGCAACTAGGCAAGTCGACGGATTGATGTACATCTAGCAGTAATATACCAATCCCATCAATTGTAACAAGAAATGAGGTAAACCCATAAAACTATAAAATAATCTCTGTGAGGCCTAGACTCAAGAAGATTGAACCCAGAAGAAGAAACGGAAAGTAAAGGACAGGTTCTATATCGGAACGTATCTTTTGAACACATGCTTGCTCCCAACCGCAAGACCTGCAGCCAATCCTCCGATTGCGCCGGCAATGGCAGCAGAGCGCGGCCCAGAGGCAGCCCTGTAGAGAGCTCCAGTGCCCAGCCCAGCCAAAACGCTGCTCAATGAATCATCCTTGTCTCTCATGTATACAATCCCGCTTTCCAATCCGGCGAAGATCAAACCCACAATACCAAACGAATTCCCGTACCTTCTTCCAATATGGCCACCAGAATTCAAAACTCTATTGATCCGCAGCTTCATAGTATCACCGGGCTCGGCAGCTTTGAGGCCTTCAACGGATCCTTTGGCGGCACCAGCAACGGCGCCGGCGAGGTAACCACAACCGGAGTAGTACGTCAGATTCTGGCCCCAAGTACGGCGTTGAACGACAGCCTCTTCGTCAAAGAGATATTCAGGGGAAGTTGGGAGGTTATAGAGGTTTTGGATCGGGACATTGAGGTCTTGGTAAGGATGGTAGACACGGGTTTTGCGATCAGAGTGCTCGTTCCAGTCCGCCATAGTAGAAAGAAAATGGGTGACTAGAAGCGATCGAGGAGAGAGGGTTATGTTATGTTTCTTTGCAGACTAAAAATAATGAGATTTAGGGACTTAGGGAGGAAGGTCGTCACAGTTTTCAGACCAAAAACCCTAGCAGCAGCTAAGAGGTTTAAGTTTTATGCGGTTTTATTTTGGTAGGGTTTAAGGTTTTAAATTTTAACTTCAAAAAGCCCAGAAGGCCAGGCCACTAGAAGCATTAATATGTCCAATTGGGCTTTTATATGCCTAATTCTAATTTTTTAAGCCAATCAAGGCAGCAGATTTCACAACGTAACCTGATCAGAGTTGGGATCATCTGCCAACAAAACACGTTCCAAGACCCTCTCAATATGATCTGACACCACACCTAACTTAATCAGAATTGGGGGTCATCTACCAACAAAATATGTTCCAAGACCCTCCCGATATGATCTAACACCACATATCTCACGGTGAGATTGGGAGGTGAGAAAATTTTGTTGGGACTTATCATAAAAGTGGATCTATCATGTATAAGATGTATGGTATCAAATGATGTTGAGAGAGTGTTGGAACCTATTTTGTTGCCAGATGATCTAGGGGGTATTCTGTAATGTGGATGAAAAATTTGTGGGTGTGGATTGGTCAACACAACACCCTGTGATAGGGATCAATGTACACCACACCATAGTCCATAGTTGTTCTGAACTATGGATAGATTGTGTAAATCGGATCAATCCACACCCACGGTGGCATTCTGTAGGTGTGGTGTGGACCATGCTTTTTTATTCCATGTATCTCATATACATTTTATGAGAGATCTACATAGTCGATCATGAATGTCTAATTTTTGCATTTTATATGGTAAATAAATTGAAAAAAAACATCAATACGTAGACAACAATTGCATTTTTTAATAATTAAAAATATTGTTTTAATTATTAAAAAAATATTTTTATTGATAAAAATATTAAAAATTTAATATTTAAATAATGAAAAAAGAATTGAGAAGGAGAACCATCAGACCAGTGCTAGAATTAACATTAAAAGTTATTATTTTATTGATAAAATATTAAAATTTTAAATTTTAAAAATTATTAAAAGATTAAATAAAATGAGACTAATTGGACCAATGTGACGCAGGTGCATTACACTGAAACCTTCCCACAAACTATCCACACCATAGTGTGGACCATTAATAAGAAAAATACTGCGAACGATAAATTGGGGTGTGGCCCGTCCCTGTCCATGTTATTTTGTGGACGGTTCCCGTCCACAGATAGCATAACACCATATCTTATCATGGACGCACTACCAAATGCCACCCTAGACTCATCTAACCAATCTTTGTTAATTTTGTAGGGAAAAATATTTTTTTGAAGTACTATGTTTGTAGTTGGGAATTTGGCTAAGAAATTATATCCAGATGTACCAGCGTGGTAATTTTGGAAAAACAAAATTGCTCAATTCCTTAGTATAGGGTGACTATTGGGTTGCAGTTTGAACTTTGAATGAAGTGCCATGCCATTCTCACGCATCTTTGAGTTTTCCTCTATTGGAGGTTGTTGTCAATACATGTGAACCAAAAACCTAGGAGAATTGGTTGGTTTCAAGGGGCTCTTTCCATCAAAGAAGAGAACTATCCAGGCAGTAGGGGGTGCAAGTGCAACATGAGTTTTGAATGGATCCAAACTCTAACCCAAGTCCAATATCAGTTTGGGCATCCTGAGTTTTTTTTTTTTTTTTCATAGAAACCTGGATGTGCTACACAAGCCTGGGGGTAGCACGTCCCCAAAAGTCTCCTTTACAAATAGCTACTAAACCACTTCAAAGATTACAAAGATCAAGATGCAAGCAACCTAACCTAGAATGAGCTTCATTAGCAATCCAGTCAGCCACTTGATTCGTCTCTCTAAACACATGTCTATAACTTACTCAACCCTCTAGTCGATCCTTCAACTTTAGACAATCTTGAATGCTATTCCTTAGGTTCCAAGGAGAATGGGTCTAGCTCTTGAGACAAGAGATAACCAGCTTTGAGTCCCCTTCAATAATCACCACCTCCGCCTCTCTGAAGTTTGCCCTTAGGTTGTGAGCTTCCCACCCAGCCCAAGCCTCTGCATTATTGATCGTAGAAACACCAAGAGAGTAGCCTTTGAAATCTAGAATCTCACCCCTATGGTTCCTAGCCACCGCACCAATAGTACCATACCATAGTCACATACCATTGGTATGACAAGAAACATCAAAGTTAATTTTAATCGACCCAACTTCAGGAGGGATCCACTTAATATTCTTCCAATTATTGAAATTGGGTCATTTCTCAACTCTCTGAATTCCTTGCAAGTCAAAACCGCTCTATCAATAATCATTTGGGAGGGCACCGAAATACTAGTAAAGATTTTATTATTTATATTCTTCCAAATCTTCCATAAAATAAGAGCACATCTCTCTTTCATATTTATATTGTTTTTAATGTCCTCATTATGAATTTTAGCCCACCATTCTGATTGGTTGTTGGGCTTAGAATGTTGTTATCCACTACCGACGACACTTGTTAAATCACAACTTCGAAAGATATGATCAAGATCCTCTTCCTCACCACAAAAAACAACACCCCCCATCAATATTAAGACCCCTATTTCTTAGGAAACCCTTTGTAGGAAGTCTGTCTTTGAGAAACAAACATAGAAAAAATTAAATTTTTGGTTGGCATTTAATGTTCTACACCATTGTTCCCCAATTGAAGTTTTCGTTTCCATTTTGAAATATGTTACATTTGATTTTGTAAGCCGACTTTATAGAAAATTTTCCGTCTAAAGTCATTTTCCAAATAATAATATCCTCTTTTTCATCAATGGGAATGAAAATTGTTTTAATTTTTTTCCCAAACACCTTGCGGCACTTGGGACTTAATTTTGTTATCCAGTTAAATCTTTCTTTCTTAGTCAATTACCTTCCCAACATTCATATTTTCTAATTATTGAAAAGAGGCTTCAAAGCAATCCGCAAGGGAATCATTCCCAACCCATCTATCTTCCCAAAAACTAATGGACTTACCATTTCCTATGACCCAGCCAAGACCTTTTTACCAACATATCTCTTGAGGCAAGGATCCCTCCCCACACCCACGAGACATCCTTTTTGCACCTAACATTAAGGAATTCCTCTCTTCTAAGGTATTTTCCCTTAACAACCTTAACCCATAAATTATTTTTCTCATTAAGAATTTTCCATCCTAACTTTTCTAGATTGGCCTCATTAACCCATCTTAAATTTGAGAGGCCAAGACCACCCCAAATCTTTGGACAACAGGCATTAGGCCAACTCAGAAGGTGAAGAGGTTTTTTGCGACTAGAATTTGTCCACAAAAAGTTTTTTTGTGCTTTATCAATATCTTCAATGATATTTTTAGGAAGCCTAAAGGATCTCATGATGAAATGGGGTATCATACTTGTAGATGCTTTGAGCTGTGTTATTCTTCCTGCCATAGAAAGAGAATTCCTTTTCCAACTAGATAATTTTTTCTCCACTCTTTCCTTGATAAAGTTAAAGGAGCTGCTTAAAACTCTGAAATTAATCAAAGGTGCCCTTAGGTAGAAATTTGTGGATGTTTCAATTGGAATTTTAAGAATCCTTGCTATAATTTTTTGGAATCTTTTTGGCACATTTTTTGAAAAAAGAATGAAAGATTTCTTAAAATTTGGAAGTTGTCCTGAAGTGCTTGCAAAGTTTCCCAATATTTCTTTAATCGTAAGGCAGGTAAGGCTCTGCAAAAATAAGGCAGTCATCTGCAAATTGCAGAATAGGAATTTTTGGACTTTCTCTTGTAGTCTTGCACCCAATGGAATTTTTTGACATAAAAACTTCCTTCTCAAGTTTTTTGGAGAGAGCCTCTGCACATAGAACAAATAAATAGGGAGAGAGAGGATCCCTTAAACCTCTGGATGGGTGGAATTCCCTAGTTGGAAACCCATTAACCAAAATTTAGAAAGACTAAGTCTTAACACACTCCATCACCCAGCCTATCCATTTTACATGAAAACCAAATTTCCTAAGGACTTTCTCAATGAAGTCCCATTCCAATCTATCATAGGCTTTTTCTATATCAATTTTACAAGCCATCATCCCTTTTTTTCCTTTATTTTTTCTCATACTATGCATCATTTTATGTGCAATCAGGATATTATCATTAATTTGTTTGTTTCGGACAAAGGCACTTTGATATGGAGATATTAAGTCCTACCGAGGCTTTACTCTATTTATTAGAATTTTTGTAATCACTTTGTAAATGACATTACACAAACTTATGGGTCGAAAGTTATTAATAGTTTCAGGGTTTTCTATTTTTGGAATAAGGGCAATAAAAGTTTTGTTTAGGATGGGGCACAATTTCCCAGAATAGAATGAAAGAAAGCTTTAATTACATCACAAAAGGAATCCTTAATAATGTCCCAAAATTTTTTAAAAAGTAAAGCATTTAGGCCATCCGGGCCAAGGGCTTTGAGATCTCCAACAGACTGAAGGGCCTTGAAGATCTCAACATCAGAAACTTCCTTAAGGTCATTTTGATCATTAGTGACACAAACATCCATGTTAATAAAATCGCTAATCCCACTTGATCCTCCAACCTTTCCCCCATCTCATTTTTAATGAAAGTAATTCTGTTTCTAGCCTTTCTTATGGTTCATGTTAAATGAACGAATCTGCTTTTTTTTTCTATAAATTTCACTACCTTTGAGCCATTTGTTTCAATATCTTCCATGCTTGGTTAACCACTTCCTGAGGGATGGGTGAAGGCACCACATTGCTTCGAATCTAAAGGGTTTCAGCCATTACTTTGGTGCAAATTAGTAAAAAGAATCAAAGGGGTATGGTTGGAATTCAAAATAAGCAAATTTTTAAGGATTGCATTTGGGAACCTTTCTCTCCCCGGTATTCTTATTTCTCCAAGTAAAATGATTACCCTTCATCTCAAGATCCATTAACCCACAGTCACTAATAAATTCATTGAAATCCCTTATATGTCTAAGGGGAGCCTCCCCTCCCCCTTTTTTATCTTCTCTTGACCGAAAACTGTTAAAGTCACCCAGGACGAGCCAAGGTCCCCTAGTATTATTTGCAATTTCTCTAACCCAATTCCATACCATTTTTTGATTAGTTTTACAAGGAGGCGCATAAATGAA